AATAGGTTTTCTGTAATACTTATAATCTTTCATTCAAATAAGTTTCTACTTCTTGCAAGCAGAGAAGTTTAAATATTTTTAAAATTAAATTTATAGATTAGAAGATTTGCATTGTTCTTTGGACCTTATTTACTCCTGTAATTTATACATGAAATAAACTAAATTATTTAATTTAATACTTTCACATTTTTATTGTTATTTTGTTAACTAGATTCCATATATTTCGTACCTATAGTAACTAATAGAATAATAATACAATTTTACATTTTAAAAAAAAAAATTTTCTACTAGAATTCTTACTCCAATGTTCCAAGTGTAGTACCTAATCTGTTCATTAATTGTGATTACTCCATTTTTTATCAATTAAAATGTTGGAATTATTAAGTGTAGTTAAAGTTGATATTTTCGAATATTTAGATTTTTCACAACATTTAAGCAGTATCCTGATACTAAATTTGGTTTTTCAAATGGGAACCTACATATTTAATGCAAATTATAAATCAGATTTGTTCTGATAATTTTCTGAACATTTTGATATATTGTAATTGTAATTTGAATGACAAGTTTCTGAATTAAGTATTCTACTTTAAAATATTAAGGATAAAAGTCTAAAATTATTATTAGATAGGTACTAACCGTTTCATAGAAGTTGTGTATAGCCATATTGGTAATTATACTTGTTTAACTAATAGGCGTAATACACCACACTATTTCAGTGTACCAGATGTCTGATATCATTATTTACCTATTTTTATTAAGAATCTTTGATTTTGTTTGTTGTTGGTTTGATATAGGTAACTACAAATTATTTTCCTCGTTTTCGTCCTTCGTTTTACAAAAGACCAAAGTAAGTACCTACTTATTACAAATTATTATTACCTAGTACCTACAGGAAAATCATTTTTGTGTTTTTTAGTGAATGTAGGTACATACTATGTATGCTACTAGTTGACAGGAAAGCACTCTAAAGTTGATACTGGGTAATAGGGTTTAATAGGGTTTATATATTATTCGAGACACATCATTACCACGATGGCCGTCTGTGTAAATCTCATATAATAAAAAGTAAAAGTTTTTTGTTTAAATAAAGTGTTTCTTTTAATATTTGTATCCGGTTGTATCTCGAGGTTGCTATCCATAAAAATATTATAATAGTTAATACATTATTTACTGTAATTGAAAATATTTAAATTATTTTACTTTATTCAATTTTCTACGTGTAGGTACCTTTAAGTATAAAGAAAAAAACAATAATACGGCTAATACAGATCTCATTCTTCATTTAAAGTTTCAAAATTATTCTGTGCCTAATAAAACAAAAAAGATTTCAAATAATTCTCAAATATTTAACTTAACTAAATTAGAATTGCACTGAATTATCAACATATGTTTGATATTTTCAAATAGTACAGAACGTTTTATTTGTCAGCAGGTTCATATAATATTGCGAAAAACTTCATTCACGTCCACTTGCGTGACGGTACACAAATGTTTAACATAAACCATTTCACTAGCATTTAAATCTCTTAATTCGTCCATTTCGATCTTTTCCTCAACGTAATTTAAATTATTTGAGATTGTATGGAATATGTTGAAACATTTGTTTTTTTCTATTACTTTATTAAGTTTTTCCACTTCTGATTTTATCGAAAAATATTTACCGTAATGTTTGATTTTTGATTAACTATCAAAATATGTATTAAAACATAAATTATGCTTTTATAATTAAAAATATGCCTTTTAAACAGAAAAATATCGAGATATGCAAAATAATGCTCAAAAAACATTTTGAAACACTTGACAAAAACATTTGATCACAATCGTTATAAAATACATTGTTTATTTACTAAACACACGATAAAGTTAATCAAAAAAAATATGTAAATGCATGAAAGTCCTTACTCTAGTTATTATTAATATGGCTCGGAACTTCACGGGTTTAAAAAAGTAGAAAAGTGTACTTATTTTAATTTTTTTACACAACATTTGGTGGATTTGATTTACCAACCTTTATAGTATCAAATTAAAATTAAAAAAAGACGATCAGTCTCATATGGTATGTCGTTTGATGCACATGCATGTATATACTGTATAACATTTTTTTTTTTTACTGCATATACCAACAACTGAATGTCACGTTTTCGGTATCTACGGATGCGAAAAAGAAAACTGAATATACTCAAACATTCCAAAGGAACTCAAAACAACGTCAAATCGCCTTTTTTTTCTTCAAAAAACTGGTAAATATAATTGGTTTATAGCAAAGGTCTTTAATCGGTGGATCATGACTCATTTTTTGGTCGCAATAAGTTTTCTTTTTAAAATAAAAATTAAGTTTATGCAATTATATAAGGTATACAAATAATTGTTTAATTATTAAATTTAGAAAATTAATAAATGAAAATACAGTTTGAAAATTATTGTAATATATTATGTATAAACAATAATATATAATTTATATTCAAAAATACTATAGTATAATGGATTTCAAATCGCAGTATATGTTTCATTTACTGGTATGATTCTACGTACTATGACATTAAATATAATAATTTACGAGTAAACCGGGCAAGTAATAAAATAAATATATTATATTATTTTCGTTAAAGAGTCCCATAATCTACGAACATTGTCGATGTTGTCGCTGTGTTTAAAGACGAATTAGCCGAATGTTAGCCGCGTTATTATTATTCAAGTCATATATATCTGGTCGTATCCGTTAAAAAGTTTTTTTATTTTTATTTATTCAGTTATAACAGTACTACTACAAAGTATTAAGTAATTTTGGATTTTTTTTTTTTATTTTTCTTTTTCTACAAACGTTTTTCTTTATGTAAGCCTTATGTGGGTCGCGAATAATGTACGCCTAAAAAAGTGGGTCGTGAGTCCAAAAAGGTTGAAGACCACTGGTCTAATAGAATATGTAACATCAGTCCCCAGCTCCCCACAGCCGGCGGCCGATTAATCGCGTTATTCCCTTATCGCACTCCGATAACGCACAATGTGCAACCTATAAATACCACTCAAGAACGGTGTCAATATAAATATATATAAACCCCAAATGTCCAACAAAAAAATCGCATACAGAGAGTTTCAAATAACGTTTTCTCAAACTCGCCCAATGACGACTCTGATTTTCAAACAGTTCAAAGCAAATCCAAACGAAATCTTTCTTCCAACTCAAGTGACTCCAAAGCGTGAACAAATAAACAAAATAAAGCTATCTTCACATCTTCGAATAGATACGTCGTACTTGTAAATGAAAATATTGAAACCGAAAATATCAAATCAATCCATATTGATATCGACTCAGACGAAACCGAACCAAAAATCAAACCTCCTCCACCCACTTTTATAATTGGATATTGGATTTTTCTGCATTTCGTTCACGTATAATATAATTAATCGGTGCGGATAGTTTCTTTGTCAAATCAAATGTCAACAACTTAAAAACTCAAACCAATAACTCCAACTCATACAGAGCAACCATAAAATCCCTAAAAGAAAGTAAGGCCGAATTTCACACGTACCAAAACTCATAATGAAAAATCTTTTCGAGTAGTGATTCGCAACATCCACCTGTCAACTTCACCAGCGGAAATAGGTATAGTAATCAATGAAATTCGACCTTTCTTAGTCCGTAACGTATCCAACATTTTAATTAAAACCACTAAAACCAAACTACTAATTTTCTTTATCGATCTGGAACCTGTCGAAATACATTTTTCAAATTACCTCCTTATTAAATACAAAAGTAAAAATTGAAGAGTCATACAAAAGACGTACCATTATACAATGCATAAACTGCTAGGAGTACGAGCATTCCAAATCATATTGTGTCCACCTTCCAAGATGTGTTAGATACACTGCCAATCATTCTACTTCCTCCTGCACAAAAACCAAAGATAAACCACCGACTTGTGCCCTCTATGGACGCAATTACACGGCTAACTACCGGGGTTGCCAAGTCCACAAAGACCTTCTAAATTTCCATTATGGTAAAAATATTCCAAATAAAAAATATAATTTAAGAAATGATGTAAAATATAGTTCTATTGTAAATGAGGGGAGGACTCTAGTGTTAAAACCAACCATAATCCAACCAATATAAGTGACACCTCATATTTTCCAAAGCTAACCTCAAAATCTCTCCATACCAACACATCAAAACATGTTCCCCCAAATGATATTGCAAATCAATTTGAATCTGATACAGCTTCACAACTTTCCTCTTTCATTTCTGAATTCAAATTAATAATAAATTTGCTTATATCACTACTCACAACTGTAATAAATAAACGTATTAATAATGTCAAATAACAAACCAAATTTAAATGTACTCAAAATATTACTATGGAATGCAAATGTCTTAAAACAACATGAATCCGAATTACTTCATTTATTATTAGAAAAACAAATAGACATAGCACTTATAACCAAAGCTCACTGCAAACCAATTACCAAACTTTTCCTCCCTGGTTTTAACATTTTTAGAATCCACCATCCTGATAAAATAGCCCGCGCTGGAGCGGCTATTATAATATCTTTTAAAATACAAAATAAACTACTTCCAAGTGTTCAGCTTCCCACCATCAAATTAAAAACTATTCAGATAACACTAAATCACATCCGTACCAAAATGTCTTCACTTTATCTCCCTCCACATCCAGCCATAGCCTCAAGGCAACTGAATCAATTTTTAAAATCCCTTGGTCAATATATCTTGGTAGATGGCTATTTTAAAGCAAAGCATTTACAATAGGGCTGCGTTTCAGAAAACCAAAGAGGCAAGATGCTTCAGAAAATTATCAAAAACACACCATACACGTTCATATGTCCAAATGGCCCAACTTACTGGCCTCAACACCAAGATAGACACCCAGATATACTCGACATCTTCTTATCGTCACTACCTAGTCACATAAAACGCTCTGTCATTAACTTAAATGACCTAAGTTTGGATCACACTCCAATCCTTTGAACTATGTTTGTTTTATTAGAGACAAATCCACCACATACATCATTATATCAAGGCTCAATCAAATGGGATAAATTTTCTGAAATTATGCAAAATACAACCTATCTTAATGTTTCTCTTAAAAATAAGAAGGATATAGAAAACGCTGCTCGAGATCTTGTAACTTCAATATAATCAGCCATATTTAAATCCTCACATCCAAAGAATCAATCGCATAAAACTAGTAGAAACAATCAATATCTACCTGCAAATATTATAAATTTAATTTCTGAAAAACGGCGAGTGCGCTCTAGGTGGCAAAAATATCATTATCCATCTGTTAAAAAACTGTTTAACCATCTAGGGAAAACTTTAAAAAAATTAATATTAAGACACAAATCCGAATTTTTTGAAAATAAATACCAATCACTAAACCAAACAAACGGTTCTCTTTGGAAAACAACTAAAAATCCACTTAAAATAAAAGAACAACTTCCTCCCTTAACTGACCTATACGACCATCTCCGATATTGAAAAAGCCAATCTATTCGATAAACACTTACCGAAAATATTCATGCTTCAATAATATCAAACTCTGAATACTTAGAAACTGTCAAATAGTACTAGTATCAACAGTACTCTACCTAAATCATTATCTGCTAAACATACCTCACCAAGTTTTATTTTTAATTAAAAAATTAAAATATGGTAAATCACCAGGTTACGATCTAATTACCAATAAAATTCTCAAAAATCGTCCTCACAAACCCATTTTACTAATTACTTTCATCTTCAACGTTATGCTAAAACTTCCATAATTCTCAATAATATGGAAATTGTCAACTGTAATACTTATATCAAAACCAAATAAACTAAAGACTCTAGCCACCTCTTACAGACCAATAAGTTTACTCCCATCTCTAGCTAAACTATTCGAAAAAATAATACTCAAAAGAATTAGACTTATAATGCAAACTTACAAAATTATCCCAAACTCTCAATTCGATTTTAGAGCAAAATATTCCACTGTACACCAAATTCATAGATTGACAGACGAAATATCATCTTCCTTCGAAATGAAACAATTTTGTTCAGGTATTTTCCTGAATGTAGCGCAGGCATTCAATCGAGTGTGGTATGAAGGCCTACTGTACAAACTCAAACTTTTTTTACCTGCATCATATTATCTAATTATTCGTTCATATCTCGAAAACCGCTCCTATTTAATCCGATATGGAAACCCATACTGAAGCTGGTGTAACCCAAGGTAGCGACCTCTCTCCTGACTTAGTATTTATACGGCTGACATACCTGTTAAAGCAAGTACCACAATGGCCACTTACGCAGATGACACCACAATACTTTATGCTAGTAATGGCCCTAACGAAACATCCAACCTTCTACAAATCTACTTAGACTCCATTGCCAACTGGCAACTAAGTGACGAATAAAAATAAATCCAGATAAATCTGTTTATGTACCATTTACATTAAAAATAACTGACCCTCCTCCACCTGTCTACTTTCAAGGTACTCTAATTCCATCATCTTCTGATGTCAAATATCTTGGCATTATGCTTGATAAAAGACTTACTTGGGGCACACACCTTAAACTAAAAAGAAAAACTCTGAACAGCCGACTACATCTACTTTGTCCAATATTAAAATCAAAACTTCGAATTCATACCAAAATTATTATGTATACATCTCTTTTGCGACCAATATGGGCATATGCAATCCAAATTTGGGGCTGCGCTAAACCACCCCAAATTCGCACCATACAAGCTTTCCAGTCGATTACTCTCCGTATGCTAATCTCTGAACCTTGGTTTGTATCTAACTCTGTATTACAATCGGACCTAAAAATCGAAACAGTTGTTCAATTAGCCACAAAACGTTACAGATCTTTTTATTCCAAACTTCATTTCCATACTAACCCAATAATAACGCAAATCACATCCAATACTCAACCCATAAATCCCACCCATTGACTCAAAAGAAAATACTGCAGAGATTTATTAACCTAAAGTAACAAATCACGTTGGGTTTCAGCACTGGTTGGCCTTCCTTCTCATATCATTCACAGTTAAAATGTATATAAATTATTGTACTTAAAATTATCATATTTGCTTATTGTGATATTGTAACATAGATTGTAAATATTTTATTTAAATAAAAAAAAAAAGACGGACATACTCCACACAATGGATGGCCCACTGTTTTAGGTGAGAAGTTGGGAAGGTAGAATTTATAAAAATACAGTTATTTTATTTGTATTTTATGTACAGCAATAAACCATTGCTTACAAAAACCGATTTGGAGCGAAATTTGGTTATACATAATTTGAATAACCGTTATAGTATAATAGTTTAACAATTTTATCCGCCAAGTTCCTACCGAATAAAAGTTACATAAAAAACTTTAAGTTTCCTATTCGTTTCCACATCACAATTGAGGTAGAAGCTGGGCGCATTTTTTTTTAACATGAATTCCTCTGTAGGCCTAGTTCATTTACTTCGTCAAAAAGTGATTAAATATAATATTTTAATTATTAATTAATAACTCTAAACTGTTTTTACTTATTATGCGATAGAATGTCTTAAATTAACATGTCGTCTTCTATTTCTCTATCTTCGTTTTCTTGGTCTTTGTCATCGTTTTCTTAGGGTATATTCTCAGCCAAATAGTGTAGTGGATTTATGCCTTTATATTCATAAGGGTCGTCTATACCGTCTATATTTTCATCCAAACCATTCATAGAACTTGAATTCAAGTATGATCGACCATGGCAATATCCACAAATAGTTGAACAATTAACTCTTATTTTTCTGCATCTGCAGTTAGTACCACAGCCTTTTGTACAGATACAAAAAATCATACTTAGCAATTCTTCAGGTGTGGGTGGTAATAATGTCGTGACAGGTTCCAAAATATTGTCATTCATAGCCCATCCCCACTGTTCAGGATTTAATGTGTTACCCAGTCAAACATGTATTTGATAATAAACACGAAGTAGATGCTGTTGGGCGGCACTAGTTGTGAGTGGAAGTGATGATAATTTGAAAATTGTATTATTTCTGGTAAATTTGGCAAAAGTTAAATACCTGTAATTATCAATGGGGACCTCTTTTTTGGGGCACCATACATGGCTAAAATAAATTGCAATCCATGTTTGAAAATGCCTGCAATCGGACAGTTTTTTGTTTTGATTATTGCTACTGTTTTGTTAAGATCTGGACGTTTTTCAAATAGTTTTATGTAATATATAATTAAACATTTCACCTTGATGTCATATAACACGATGCAAAAGAAATCCACCGTCAATGATATAAGTTGCGTTAGAAGTAACCTGTTCAATGAGAGTTGGTTTAAAACAGTAATAATGCGGATTTATTAGTTTTCGTATACTTACTTCGTTAAATAGAGCGAAGGGGTATGGAGATAATTTAATTTGTAAATATTCATGTATTTTTTCTTCAATTTTTTTTATCTAAACTAATTTTTTGAAACAGTTGAAGAGGATCTATAGGAATTTAATAATCATGAACTTTAACAAAGCTTTTAACCCTCAAAAATGGAAGAGCTCTGTTACGCTTACTTGAATTTAAACTTATCAAATGTTAATCAAACCATACTATTCATTGTGACTATACCAACGTTATAAGCATCATAACAGTTAAATTCATTAATACCGGTTATTCCATTCACTAATGACATAATTTTATTTATACATAGGAAAGGATTGTAGATTGTTAGCCACTCAATAATTTTTATGCGTTTGCATTATCTCTTTTGATGCGTGAATCTCTTGTATCAACGGTGTCTAAGAAAATGTTACCAAACGTTTCTATATCTTCACATATTGTGTTCAAAGCATTCAGGCCATAAACCCATTTACTTAAAACGTTTTCTTGAGTACTTCTTCCTCGCAAAACTCCTCCTTCAGTCTTCATTGATTTCATTAGCGGTTATTCTACCATCATACCACTCCAGGTTTCACAATTTAATTTGTTATTGCGTCTAATTGTAAAAAATCCCTCAGTAAATTTTTTAAACGCCTGTTGGTCCATATTGTTTTGTAGTTTAAGCATATCCTGCAGATATAAATGCGCTAATTTTGTATATAGATAGTGTTCAGATGCACGAAAAAAAGATAGCATTTTTTTTCACAGCATTTTAGTGTCCTTACCAATCTCCTAATCTTTCAAATCTGATAAAGTCTTTGACTTAAGATAAAATACAATATTATTATTTTATATTATATATTTATTTTTGGCAGTTTTTTAGGCATAAATTCAAGAATACAAAGTATTAAAGTCAAAAAAGACAAATCCGTTAAAAACTTTGAATTTCAAGCCTCAAAAATAAATGAAACGAATGAAATTATTTCGTAGATTACAAAAGTGTTTTGTTGAAAATGAACTTAATATTATCGATGAAAAATATTTTCTCTAAAAGGAATACAGTTGATAAGTGATAAAAAAAAATCTGAATAAGAATACCGAAAATGAGAATCATTGTATATCCTTTACAGTAAAAATGAGTGTGAAAGAAAAAAACACTATAGTTCTATACAGACATAATTTTGTAATGATTTCTGAGTAGTGAAGATTTACTTAATACAGTTGTGAAAAACGATGACTATAATTTTTGTGAAATTAGAATTTATAATATAGAGGTAGTTTTATGTTATTACAATGATATGACAAAGCATGTTTAAACAGGTCCGTTACATTAGCACCTCCCAACTTGGAATTTCGTTAAAAAATTTGCACCAACAATTGTTATTCTATTTGTACACATTTGTTATCGCAAATTCTGAATTTTTATACCACCCAGAACTCATAAAAAACGATATTTACTGCGGTGGTGCTAATGTAACCTCATCCCACTTAGTGTACAATACACCTATCTATTTATAAGGGAAATATTATTGTTTGTTTATATATGATAATATATCGTTCACTCCAGTTATACCAAATTTATTTTATTATTTTGTTTTTTTATTGTAATTAAATTAAAAATATTCGTAAAGGCTTGATATTTTAACTGGAAACTTATATTTGCCTTATATAGATGTGCTAAAATGTTTAAATCATTTGAGCCATTTTTATGCAATTTAAAGATATTTTAATTTTGCGAGTTTTTACGTAATTTTTATTTGGCAGGTATATAGTCTATGACAAAACTGTTAAGACTAAATATAAATGTTTGATTATTTGACATGCGGTTCATTATAACTTAGTGGTAAAAAAAATTGATTGATCAATAGTATTTTTTTTTTTTTCTATAATAGTTTTAAAATCAAATTTTAACAAAAATCGTAAATTGTATGACTTTTTAAAACATGTATCACTGAACTTGTCTCCAAATCATTTTTCGTCAGCAATGGTTTATCATTGCTTACAGATATAAATTCAATATCTCCATGTACCCACCTTCCAAACTTCCCACTCACAACATTAGCACACCCATCCTCAGTATCATCTATTTTTTAGATTCTGAGTTGAATAATGAATGTGGACAACTTTTCTACCAGAAATTTTGCTCCGATTTTCAATGATAGTAGGTGCTTTAAAGGGGTAATATTTTGATTTGCCCAGTTTTCCCAATTAATGGGAAAAGCCGGGAAAAAACGTAGGGAAACCACGAAAATAGGTACAATTAGAGACACAAGCTTGAATATTTTCAACTTTCTTTGAAAATTTTAGGTTTAATATAATTTTTTTAACATTATTCATTTTTGAGGTTGATTGGTTGGTTTCGCTGTATCACAGATATTTATATTGTTGGTATCAATGCTTGAATATAATATAAATGATAATAAGTACATAAGAACAATGATTATGTAAATACCTTTATGAGTTTATAATTGTATCGTCGAGTGTTTTGACTATTGATCACTTTTATACTTAATAATACATTAAAACTACATGAATGAAAAGATTATAATTGATCATTGATACAAAAAAGATTAATAGTTAAAATTACAATTTAAAATCAAGCAATACACAATGAAATTACAATTTGTAATATTTATTGGTAACTATTAACTTACAAGATTACAGTAAATACATGTTTAAATTGGTAGGTATAATGAAAATGCGATGGGTTAAGGTTTAAAATTAAACAATATACTTACAATTTTACAAATACGTATAATAATATTACTTATACCGTTCAAACTTCCAAGTTTTCTAATTCAACATTTCCTGATTAAAAACAATGATAAGAAATTAACAGGTTGATAATTAGTAGACTTTCGGATGATTCGGCTGAAATACATTCGGTTGTTTTATTTTTGGCAGAATTATTTTTCTGCCTAAGAGGATGTTATACCCTTCATCTGCTATCTTAGTTCAACTACCGGATAACAAATATAAACAATGCTTACGTAGAATAAGTAAAACTAGCTTAAATTTGATTTAATAAAACCATGAATGTGGTAAAACAATCAAAAAGTGATAATTGTATATTTGTATCACACGTACGTGCCGCATTAGATGCACGCATTCGTTGCAGTGTATATGTATGGTTTAAAAAAACACCACTAAAATCGTTGCAGAACTTGGATACCCCCCACTTAGGTATTCTTCGTCGATAAACTTGACCGCACCAATACCACAGTACCACCCACCTGCCAATATCGTTGGAAGTTTATATTTTCTTAGTTCATGGTCAAGAATCATGGTACTAATAATTTGTAACATAACCTAACAATAATTCTAAAATTTCATAGAATAATGAATATTGTATTTGGATAAAAAATTTTCAAATTAAAAATCAAATAATAACATTATAATTATTTCTTTTATAATGTAAATTATGGTACATCAGGATACGATGGTATTGTATTACCAGTATTTTAAAAAACGCATGGAGAAACAAATAGGATTAAACATATGATGAAGTAAGAGAAGAAAAATCTAATCAGTGATAAATAAGACACCAATACTAATCAAATCAATATATGTAAGTAACTACCTTCTACAATTTACATTGTGTCATCACATTTATGATGTAGAAGATCTACGATTGTATGATCTTGATCTATGATGACCTTTGATGAAAACACAACAGTATACTTCGTGTTTCTTCTCTTTTTTTTTCATAGTATTTATTTGTAAATTTTGTCCAATATTTGTTTTCTTTGAATTATATTTGTAATCAAAATGTCAAAAGTTCCCGAAGTAAGAGATGATTCATTTAATTAAATATATATTTTTTTCTATTAGTATTAGTGGCTACATGAAAGTAGTTCTGTAAGCGGCAACTGATCCAGGACAAGATAACAGGCGGAGGGGAAATTTTTAAATTTCTTATAAATAAGGCATGCTTAAGGGGGGGGGCAAAGAGGCTAATTGCCTTATGGCACTTAAGGTTCCACAAATTTATAGGTTGCTAAATTTTATCTAGATATTAAGTTTAGTTACTTAATAGAATAATTAAAGTCTTTGTGCACCAACGCTAATTAGCATAGTACTGTATATAAAACATATATTTATTATGAAAATCAAGCTAATAATATATTGGGAAGTGGGCGATTACCACCTTCACTGGATCAATCACTATCTATGAGTTTAAAGATTATAAGTTTTTATTAATTTATGAGCAGGTTGGTGGGTGAGTAGCTAGGAGAGGGTTAGATAATTAAATAGGAAAATTAGTTTTTTTAATAAGTTTAGGTGATTGTTTTTGCAAAAAGTGATTCATTTAATAATAATAATAATGTAATCTAATATATTATTAATTATTTTTTTATAGAAAAAAAAGGCGTGAGGTTTTTTTTAAATAAATGGGTTTGTCAAATAAATTTTTGAGTAAATATTCAGTAAAAATAAATAATTAACTTTTAAGTTGTTTTATAGTAAAAAAATAAATACATTTTTAGTTTAAATACATTTTTATTATTCTTCTTTTTCTCATACTAAGCATTACATTTTTGATCAAATATAATATGTCCTAAAAATGTTTTATAATTAATTATAATATTATATATTTATTTATAATTTTTAGCCTATTGAGACGGGTGAGAGTTCCAAGGGAGATGGTTTGAAAGCATACTACACAATCAAAATAGATCAGTTGTTATTGGCCATAAATGAAAAACAGTTAAACATTAAGCGTTTACAAGCTCAGAGAAATGAACTTAACACTAAAGGTAGTAATGTATTATACTTAATTTATGAAGTATAATTGAATTACATTTTGAGTTGGTTATTAGTTAATGATAGCTTATAAATACCTATGTCAAAAATATCAAAGTACCTATTATTTAATTTCTTATCCTGGTGAAACAATTATTTTATTAATCATTAAATACTATTATTACTTGTTTACAGTGAGACTGTTGAAGGAAGAATTGCAATTACTTCTAGAGCAAAGTTCATTTATTGGTAAAGTAATCAAGGTAATAGATAAGAAAAAGGTGTTGGTAAATATCCACATGGAAGGAAAATATGTTGTGGAGACCAATTCAAATATTGATGTTAAAGATTTGAAACCGAATTGTCGTGTAGCATTGAGTAGTGACTACATTTTACACAAAATACTGCCACAAAAGGTTTGTTAAAATATACTTATATTTATTTGTTATAATAAATTATTCATTTTGTTATGAATTTATAGGTGGATCCTTTGATTTCGCTTATGATGGTTGAAAAAGTGCCAGATTCTACTTTTGATATGATTGGTGGATTAGATCAACAAATCAAAGAAATAAAAGAAGTAATCGAATTACCAGTGAAACATCCTGAACTGTTTGATGCTCTGGGTATTGCTCAGCCAAAAGGTGTTTTGATGTATGGTCCACCTGGAACTGGTGTGTAAAATAGTAATACAAAAAATTGTATTAATATTTATGAGTTACAATTTTAAACAGGGAAAACTTTACTGGCTAGAGCTGTAGCTCACCATACAGAGTGTACCTTTATTAGAGTCTCAGGCTCTGAACTGGTACAGAAGTTTATTGGAGAGGGTTCCAGAATGGTAAGAGAACTCTTTGTTATGGCAAGGTAAATTATGTTTTCATTATATTTACAATTTTTTTTTTCAATTATAACATCTGTAGTAAATTACTATTTCACTATATAGACAGCATGCACCTAGTATTATTTTTATGGATGAAATTGACTCCATTGGATCATCACGCATAGAATCTAGTAATGGCGGGGATTCAGAAGTACAGAGAACTATGATGGAGCTGCTCAACCAGCTTGATGGTTTTGAAGCAACTAAGAACATAAAGGTTAAATAAATTTAAATAAACACATGCAATTAACATAATGTTTATAATTATGTAAATCTTATTTTATTTTAGATCATCATGGCAACGAATCGTATTGATATTTTGGATCCAGCTTTGTTAAGACCTGGACGTATTGATCGAAAAATAGAGTTCCCAGCTCCTAATGAAGACTCGCGTTTGGATATTTTGCGCATACATTCAAGACAAATGAACCTCTTCAGGGGTATAAATCTAAGGAAAATTTCTGTACTCACACAAGGCGCTTCTGGAGCGGAATTGAAGGTAATATAATAATAATATATAATATATGTAATGGGCAAAAGCCAAAATCATCCAAATACCCAAAGTACCTGCAATGCTTAGACAAAATAGATATCACTTTTGCATTATTATCCTAATTACCATCAAATTATGTTACTACTGTGTAACTTTGCATTTTAATTTTTGTCACAAGCTAACAGTGACCAACATCATTTGGACAAAACCATGTCTATATATTTAAATTTTTCACAGTATGTGAGTACCAAATTATTACTGACAGCATATTATAATATATAATATGCAATATTGGCAACAAATAAACAAATATATTTTTTGTTGTATTTTTATGATTAAGTTTACTAACTTTTTAATTCTTCAATATAATTATATTGTAACAATATTATTTATATGTAATTTTAAAAAACGTGGTACATACCTATTGTGAAAAATTGAAATTTATGGACTATGATTTTCTCCAAATTAGATTGGTCATTACTAGGTTTGTCCCATTATTTTTTTTTTTGTCAGTAACATAATTCAATGCACCCATCTTCAGAAATTAATGTTCAATGTCAATATTATTTTAAATTAATGTAATAGTTTTGTTTGATGTAGGGTGTATGTACAGAAGCAGGAATGTTTGCATTAAGGGACAGTCGTATACATGTTACACAAGATGATTTTGAAATGGCTGTTTTTAAAGTAATGCAAAACCAAACAAAAACAAACATGTCTCTAATAAAGCAATGGAAATAATTTAGAATATTACCTATATTATACTATATTCTATATTTAAAATATATTTTTAACTTTTTATATTTATTATTTGAATTATAAAACATTATTGATTTTCCATTAGAAATAATTTTTAATAAATTAGTACCAATTGCCGATTATTAATATAAAAATATATTATATCTAAAAGCTTTTAAAATATTGCATTAAAAACATTATTTATTTTTTTCAGAACATATTATGATGTTAAATAAAATATATTTAAAAAACTATGAGTATAATATAACTTATTAATATTGTTTTGATTATCATTATCAGTAAGTCACTAGAATTATAATCATAATATAATATCAGTAGTTTTTTTTTTTTTTTTTTTGTATAAACCTATTTTGTTTCTTAATGCATCACAATTAATAAATTATAATGCATATTAACACATTAATATGCAGATGTGTATATGTGCATCTACACATTAAGGGATATTGATCAAGAAGAATACTAATTATAATATGTAACAAATTGCCTCCAAATTTAAAATATATAAATAAAAGACAACAAGAAAAAAAGCAGATTCAAAATAAACTATTTACTAAATATATAAAAAAAAAACTGTAATAAGTATAATTAGTATTTGAAAATTTCATGATACAAACATTTTTTTTTTTATTTTTATCTACCTACATTTGTCATTAGTAATTGTTATTTTTTTGTTTTAAATTTATAAAGGTAGGTATTTAAAATTTTTTATATGGATAGAAAACATACACAAATGTTTTAAATGTCAAAATATCATAAATAATCCATATTATATTAGTAGAATTCTGCATTACATAGTTTTTGAGTGAAAATAATATGGGTATTGGGTATACTATCTATGTAAGTATACAAGTATAATACTTCTATTTTTATACAGTTCTATACATATGAGTATATGATTTGGAAACATATAGACAAGTTTTAAATAGGAATAAGGAATTTTAATTAGTAATAGTATATTTTTTGTCATATAAAAATATATACATAGTGTTTAAATTAATTAATAAACAAGTATGACACCTCTCCAGAAAGTGAGCTTGTGATTAGAGGGGTGAGTTACTAGGATGTCATGTCAATATAAATATAAATGTGAAGTACATAAATATATAAATTAATAATGAATAAAAGATAAATATAAGAAACTGTAAAACTAGTAAAAATAAATAAAAAATATTTTTTTGTGTAGGCAGTCATAACTAGACTCATTAAAACTGACTCAATGGGTCTTCCTGGCACAAAGTTAGCTAAAAATATTTTAATGCTCAACACTTTGAACAACACAGTATGTTGCATAATTTTATTAGAACCACTGTACCTTGCCAAGAATACATAAATATTAATATTTTGAATAACACACTAATAATTGCAGAAGTACTAATTGTTCAAATCAATAGTAGTAATATTAGATAACATATTAAACAAAATAAAGTTCTATTTTTTGTCATTGTATTATATATTTTTTGGTTATGAACATATATATAAAATAAAGGCAACACTTTTTAAAACAAGACAACATTGCAAAAGGTTGTGCAAATAGTAACTATTAGTATTATATTAAACAAATAAAGAATACATTAAAATAATAAATCATAATGTGAAGTATCTAATTGTGTTGTAACTGCTTTTACAATAATGTGTTTAATGATAATATAGGTTATGCTAAGATCATTTGTTATAATATTGATATAAACTTAATCAATCATTATCAAAATATTCCTTCAAAAGTAATAATTAACACAGAGTATTAAAATAATAACAATTATAACATTTATACAATTCTGATTGAAAACAAATAAATTATAAGTAAAACAATTTTTTTTTTTTTACATACACTTTCTTCTTATACTAATAACTTTAAATGTAACTATGATAATATTTAGGTACCATAATAATTACCTTAATACAATTTATTGAATACAATCTTTTAAATATTTTGGAGCTTTACTTCCCTACCTGATCTGTGTAAAAGGCCCAAGGTAAGGAATATGACTTGGAAGAAACTTAGAGGGAATTATCATTAGGGATCTTTATTAAGTGTGTTCTTGATCTTTCTAGTATTTTTATATTTTCTAACTGAACTTTATACAAACTGGGTCTATTATTTTCCTCAATCACCTTAGCCATGGTGTAAGGATTTTTCCCCATCTACATCAACTAATAATACCTGTTCATTTGTTGCATATTTTTCAAATTGTTTAGTTTTTTTGTCATATTGAACTTTATTTTTTTAAATTACAGTTTCATTTGCAATTTTAAATTCTGATAGTGTTTGTTCTCCTTATTTCTAGTTGGCAGTATACCATTTATTTTCCTATTAAACATGATTCCATTTGGTGATGCTAGTTCATTGTTAAATAGTGTGTTCTGTAACACTAACATAGGTAGCCATATACGTTTTTTGTCCATAACTACTTTTTTAAACATGATTTTTACAGTTTAAATAACTGTTTGAATTCTATTTGACTTTGGGTATCTGGGATTTGAAGTTTTATGTTCAAAATTCATCCATTAGCAAATGATCTAAAATGTTTGTTTTATATTATGGCCCATTATCAGAGTAAACTGTTATTGGTATTCCATATCTTGAGAAAATCATTTTTAATTTACGCATTAATGATTCAACATTAAGATCAGACAGCTCTTCAACTTCTATGTACTTACTAAAATAATTAACAGCTAAAATATATTGTTTCCCTTTAAACTGAAAAATGTCTGTTCCCACAACCTCTCAAAATCATAGGTTCTCTTTTATACCTATTACTGTAACTTGCGCAAATACAGCAATTTGTTACCAAGTTTGTTCTCATTTATCTTATGTTGCCAAAATATTGGATCACTGACTTAATTTTGGATTTTTGTAGACTCATAAGTGTGTGATGAATTTTTGATAACATATACTTTCTCAGCGTTTTTGGAATTACAATATAATTGCTCTTAAATAATAACCCATTTTTTTTTCATATAACTTTATGTTTCAAATAGTTTTTGTTGGCATAACGAAAATCATTATATACCTTTAGATGCCATTCACTAATAAGTATCATGTTTTATGTAAACCATTAAATACATTTAATTAGTTAATTAATGAATACAAATATTATAGTTTACTTTGAACTAAATGAACTATATAGAATTTGCTACAATATATATTATAGGTATTATATTATTGGATAAATAATCATAATAAAACATAGGTAATGTTTTTACTAAGAAATAAATAATTCGGTAAATATATTACTATTTACCTAATAATATAATTTAGAGGAAACATAGGGTTCTGTGCCACTGCACACTGGAATGATTTAACAAACATACAATTATTATTTGATAGCCATCAGAATCAGATAATATAGTTATTACAACTGTTATCATCAGTATTATTTAAAACTCAAATAGATATCTACTTACTTAAGAAAATTATAAATCAGCTATTTCCCTTTGCTTGTATATTTTTAAAACTACCTACACTAATATTATAACTTTTTTTCGCAGCTAAATATAATAGTATATTATGTTATAATGTTACTAATAGTACCTATAATAATTATGGTTACAATAATTAGTAATAATTTGTCAGCTACCTACGTTTAATTTTGGTACCTATGGATAATGTTATTTTACAATTAGTCATAACTCATTAAGTCATTAGTTATGTTTAGCGAAATTATAATTTTATTGGCTTATTTTAATATGTCTCCAACAAACCTCGAATAATATTATTTTCTGATATAATAATAATAATATCCATTATTAATATTTTACAATTATTAGAACAATGCATTAATGAAATTAAAAAAATAGCTGATACTGCTGATAGGTTTGCCACTGTTGTAGGTGGGAAGTTGGGAAAGTTGGGTCGTTATTGAACTTTATTGAATTACTGAGCTGATAAATGATTGCTTATGAATTTCAATTCTGAACGAATTTCAGTTAAACATGTTTTAAAAGGTATTTAAGTTTTTGTCAAAATTTGATCTTTAAAATCAATATAAAAACCGACTACATTATGTAAAATTTTTTTTTCTAACAACTTACTGAAACTTGTATTAATGTTAAATAAAACTTTCAAAGAACTTTGCATTTAATTGTTAATTATTTCTATTCGGCCAATCAATTTTTGACCATTAAAGTCAAACAAATTGTATCCACATAAAACCAAATGAAAACTAAAAAAAAACTAGATAATTTCAAATAAAAATTTAATAACTCAAAAATTGGCAGAATATTTTAAAAGTTATACCACATTTAGAAGACATTAATTTAAGTAGATACCTATTACGTAAAAATTCATTTTCCTAGGATTATTAATCGAATTACAACAAAAAATCAGAATCTAAAATAACAAAAGCGTTATTACTAATAACGCTTTCGTATTTTAGTAACGCGCACTTTAGCGCCGTTTTCATAAAAGCACGTACGAACGTGTTCTTAAATACACGTGAAATAGAGACCCCTAGTTATTACTTATATTTTCATAAAATGTTTTGTTTCTACGTTTTTTCTTAACTTTTTAGTAAACTACTTTGAAAATCAAAAAACGATCTTCTTAAACAATAACTAGAAAACATTTCCTTTCAGCAAAGATTCTAAATCTACCATTTTGAATTTTAAAAAAGTCAAGAGCAAGATTATCAAAATTAAAAAATCGAAATTAATGAAACTTTTATTTCCGTGAATTTGTCCGTTTTCCCCCCAAACTATTATGAAAAAATAAATGCTTGTAAAAATCAAAAAATGTCTATCTCGATGCACCATCTAGATTTAAAATTCTACAAAAAAAGCTCTGTTGTCATTTTTTATTCGGAGGAAGAACTTTGGTAAAAATGATGTAAACATAAAGAAAAAAAGAAAATTGCACTCATCATAGTAATACCAATATATTCTTCACTGCGATCAGAATCTTATATAGTAGTGAAAATGAAAAATGATGGATTTACTTAGTGAAACGTGAATTAGACAGGTAGGTACCTAAATAATGAAAAGTAAATCGAAAGTACGTGTAGTCTGTTGTACCTACCTATTTAATATTTATTATAGTCGTTTGGCAAATGAGGTAATGGCACATTAATAGATAGATGTAGGTAGTAATGTATGTAGGTATCTATGTTGGTAATAAACTAATAACTAAAAATACATATTAAGAAAAATAAAGACTACAAATAATATTGTAATTAGCCATCGCTATCCAATAAAATTACGTTTAATTATTGTAGGTTACGTTAGGTTTAATTTTGAGTTTAATGGTTACCAACAGTTTTTTGAAAATCGACGTGGTCCAACCACAACGAACGGAAATTTTTGATTTCATACCTATCAAATTTAAACGAATATTAATAAAACAAGTTATTTATCTCCTGAGACACGTCCAGGATGTCAATAATATATTATTATAATATGACGCATAAGTGTTTCAAACTAATCTGTAAATACTAAAATAATATATATTATTATATAAGAAGAAAAATTTTTAATATTAAATTAATACTACTGACACTATTATTGTGGTCGAACACGTCATATATGTTATATATGAGAAATTTTAATTTTATGATATTTTTACGATAAAACAGTAGGTGCGAATTTTGCACGAAATTGTGAATTTCACTGGTTTCTTTCGTAGTACAAAAAAAAAAAAGCTGATTCTGGGAAAGGATGCGGCCGCTGTTGTAGATGGGACGTTTAGAAGGTGGAATATACAAAGTTATTTAACTTATATATATAAGTATATATATTTATACTTATATTTAACTCATATCTGTCACAGAGATTGCCATAAACCATTGCTAACGAAAAACGATTATTTTTTATTATTATTTCTTTTCTAGTCTGTGGACACGTTTTTTCGTAGTAAACTTGTTCCGATTTTTACATGTAGCAACTTTTTTTAAAACTCAAAGTTGTCTAGTTGTTTTATTTTCGACGTCGTTTTTTAAATAAAAACACTTAAGTGGGAAAAAGCGTAGGAAAACGTACAATTTTATGATTTCATTATTTTATAAAAACACGGACGACGTTTTATACTAGAAAAAATGATTTAATCGAAAAATCACTAGTTACCTTTTTGATTTAATTTCTTAGGGTATCTTCGCCAAAACTTTTGTGCCGATTTTGAGCTTTTAAGGAACTTTAATTTTTGGGAGTTTTTTGCTGTAATTCGGTTATAAATACACGTAGAGACTTGAAACTTGGTAATATGTATATTAGATGTTCTAGATAAGTGATATCAGCGAATGAAATGAGACAAATTATTTGAATAAAAGGGTATTTCAAAAACGTGATATAAAATATGGGTGAAATGAATGAAAATGGTGATATTTATGAAATGTGCCGAAATAAACTCAAAAATCTCACTTGTTAAAAGGTACCCGTGTATAATGAGAACTATCATAGCACCATAATTAACATTTATTTGTTATATTATCATGTGATTGGAATGTTCTAAATATATTATTAAGAGTAAATTAGATACATTTTTTGTACATTAATATTATAATAATAAAATGTTACCTACAAGTATTCTTTAGGCTATAATGGCTTTATTTTTCGGAATGTCAAATTCAAGAAAATGTCGATACAAAATCGACAATAAATGCCGTAAATATAAATACCTATTTCTTTATTAAGTATCTTGAATTTATTTTTTGATAATTTAAATTACTCATAATTTCAATGTTTGGTTATTTTATTTTCAAGAGATACTAAAAATCTATTTCTCTTGAATGATAAAAAAAATTGTCAAGGATTTTAAATTGTCCAAAGAACAGATAATTATATTTTTATTTTTTAGGTTACCAAATTATCGAATTAAAAAGAAAAATTATTTTTAAAATGAGTTGTGTGGTATCAGTGATACGATTATGATACTCGTGAGATAATATCAGTGACACAGTGTCTCAAAAATTCCCCTCATTGTAAGATTATATAGTTCGTAAAATCAGATAAATGTGATGGTATGAATCGAATGACTTACTTTTTCTAAAACCGCCCCCAAGGTGGCCGGAGAGAGCAATTCCGTTGAAGTTGACGAGTTGAGGCCGAAGGGAGAGTCAAGTAGAGAGGCGAAAAACCGGAGAACGCACACAATTGATTTAAAGAAAAATACGATTTTTATTTATTAGAGTACAAGAGCAAATTTATATCTCAATAGAAAACAACAGAAACAACAAACAAAATTAAATAAATATTTATCGGAATATCGCCCCGCGCGTACGATGAGCGGGCAAGAGCGACAGAAATTATATTAAGGAAAAAAAACGACAATAATTTTAGGTTGCGCCGCCGAAGTATATGGCGGAACGGACGGACGACACGACATTGCAGTAAATAATACGACAAAAAAGTGCAGACCACGGAGGCCGCGCTTGGACACAGTTATGTAACAGATAATGAAATACAACAATAATTCTTTTGATAAGTAGTTATAACACACACACACACACACACACACACACACACACAATACATTTTACATAAACGGAAATAACGGTCGTGAAAGAAACCGATAATGATGGGACATTATAAAATCACGTCTTTTGATGACGTGAACGCCATTGCTTATGAAAAAACGATTCTGTAAGGAGTTGAGTTGAAAGTGATGGTTTGTCAACAATATGTATACATGTAATTTTCTAGTAAAATAATTAAATAAGCTTTATATATTTTCTTTAATAATATTTGTTTAATATTGTACCGTTTTCCCCATATTTTATCCCGGTTTTTCACATTTGCTTCAAAACTCATGGGAAAATTGAAAAATTACCTCTCTAAAGTACCTCGCTAGTAAAATTTTATTTTAGAAAAATTGCTGTCAATAAAAGTTGGAGCAAAATTGCTGGTAGAAAAGTTATGAACAGGAAAAAAAAATAGTAATATTTTAATAATATATTTCGTACATTTTCCGTTTTTTTTTTTTGGTTTTTCATATTTAATGAGAAAAATCTTGATAAAATCGAAAAATAACCTCTATAAAGTGTCTTTCTGCTCGAAATTATTTTCAAAAAAGGTGCTACACGTAGAAATCCGAGCAAGTCTTCTGGTAGAAAAGTTGCACAGAGATAAAAAAAAGAAAAAAATAATCATCATTGTAAAATTATAAGCTTCTTCGTTCCATTTAGAATCTAAAATGCGTTTTTATGTGGATTTCCATTCATCCGGCAGTTCTCTGGTCTGATATCTGCTGGATTACCGAGAGTCTACTGTGCTGTTTTGCTACATGCAAATTGCATGTAAAATGATATCAACAAAAATAAATAAGATTAAAATAGAATAGGTAAATTAAGGTACCTGGTCTTCTATGTTCATAAAAGAAGAATAGTTACTCATCTTTTCATAACACAAAAAAGATACACCGGAAAATACCTTGATATATAACAAAGTAATTATTTATTTATTTATAACGGAAAATCGTATCACTTTGTTTTACGATTCCAAACATGTGCAATATCTATAAAGTAACGTGCGTTATTTTCAAATAAATAAGTGATATGGACAGTATATACGTGGTGTAATAGTATCTATTATAAAAATCATCACATTTACCTTCAAAAATGTTTTAAAACGAATTATGATTTCGCGACATAATACTATTAGATTCCGATCATAGCAATGGAGCTATTGATTTTTCTAAGATATTTATTTATTTTTTTCTTTTATTCTTTATTCTAGTCTGTGGACACGTTTTTTCTTAGTAAACTTGCTCCAGTTTTTATGAGTAGCAACTTATATGAAAGCTCAAGTTGTCTAGATGATACTTTAAAGAAGTAATTTTCTCATTTTCAACGCCATTTTTTTAAATAAAAGAACTTGTGAGAAAAAACGTAGGAAAACGTAAGATTTCACGATTCCATTATTTTATAAAAAAAAATACAGACGACATTTTCTATTAGAAAAAATTATTTAATTGAAAAATCACAAGACACGTTTTTGATTTACTTTCTTATGGTATCATTTCCAAAACTTTTGAATCACTTTTGAGCTTATAAGGAATTTTAACTTTTGGAAGTTTTTTTACTGTAATTCGGTTATAAATACACGTGTAGACTTGAAACTCGGTTAATACTTATATTGGACTTACCTAGACGTGGTCAAATTTTCGAAATATCGAACGACTTTTTTTTTTAAATCAAATATAAACAAAATCGCATAAAAAGTTATGAAACTTCAAATTATATATTACTGCACTCGAAATCGTCTTTCGTCAAACAATACTTTATCATTGCTTATAGATATAAATGAAATAACCTTATGTATCCTACTTTACCAACTTCTCACAAACAACAGTGGCCGCTCCCATCTCCAGTATCAGCTCTTTTTTTTTTATTTTGTACTTGTTACTACGACGACTTGACATTCGAGAACAAACGCCTGATTGACCTAGATGTATTATTAGTAAAATCTATATGATGGTAGGTTTAAGATACTCTACGTATAAAGTAGGGTACTCGTATACACCAACAATTTTCGAAAATTCCATACGTTGCTTCCATGGACTTTAGTCCACTCTTCAGGCTAAATACCCAATTATGTGCTTTGGGTCGTTCAAACTCTGGTGAAAGATGTTAATATCAACCAGAAAATTAGCATAAATAAAACCAATATAGGTGTATACCTAGTATGTTATCAGCTTTTATTTTATATTTATTTTTCTACAAAGACTGTCGAGAGTCTAGAAAAATCTTAGAATTAAAGTATTACAGGTCGAAGAATTTAGTTTTTGAGGTACTTATGTGAAGCATAAAAAAATCTTATTATTTTTGTTAACTTGAAAATGCGTTTTCTGATAAAAAAATAAAATAAATTTTATAGCCTGAACTTCACCACTACACTAAGAATTAATTAATATATATATTTTTATAAGTAATGTTTGAAATTAAACATAATATCATATTAAAATATTTTCGTTTTATAAGATTATAATATATCATTGTACGTCTCGGATACATATTGTGTAACCCGTTACGAGTCAAAATAGAAAGTTTTCGTCTGCTCCGACCATTATTTATTATATCATAATACCTACCTAGGTATCGTATACTAAATCATAATAATCATTTATATACGTTATAATATAATCAGCAACACTCAAATTACTTTAGTTACTTTACAGAGCATATAACATTTATTGTGCATTGTGCATACTGCACGCTCCCTGTGCATCATCATAATAGTATTTATAACTACGTGTTTATTATATGATGGCTATTTTATAAACACAAAATACATTATACAAAAGTGCCT